GTTACCCGTTGTACAGGACACTGGTGGGAGTCCTAGTTGACTCAACTCAACACAACCTCACAATTGAATGAACACGGATACTTACAGACGTTCACATTGGACATGCCATCTCCACACAACCTATGAAGAGAACATATCACATGTTAAGCTGAGAGCTTATATAACCTTTTTCCAAGTTTTTACCCTAACCTTCATTTGACCTTTTGCATCACTAAATTAATTTGTGAGAGGAAGCCACGACAACTTCACTTTACATTGAGTTTCTTCAAGACATAAGGTTCGAACAATCAGCACGTTACTAAATCACAGTTGAGCAGTATTTCTATTATTAATTATGACCTCCAGCAAATTGAATCCAAAGGACAAATCCTTATTCTACTCACTTTAATCATAATAGAAAAGGTGCAACTAGAAAAGAACTGCCCTGCTCAAGGAGTCCAGAAGAACTCCTTGTGCAGAAGGCAACATCTCAGCTATGCAAATATCAAGTGCTCACCTGTTCTCCTCCCCCTCCAGCAGTTTCCTGTACATGGCAATCTCAACATCCAGGGCAATCTTCACGTTGAGCAGCTCTTGGTATTCCTTCAGCAAGCGAGCCAGCTCCTCCTTGTCTTTCTGCAGGGCACTTTCCAGCTCTTCCAGCTTAATCCTGGCATCCTTGAGGGCCATTTCACCGCGCTCCTCTGCCTCAGCAATAGCTGCCTGCAGCTGCTGGTTCTGGGAAAGAAGAAAGGCAGGTTCTCAGTTTCTCATTGTCAGCTGAGATCAATCAAACCCCCAAGTGAAAGCAACAATATTTTTGGAGTAAACAGCAGAGAGTTGGTGAAGATATCTCTGCCCCGTATATCATCATTTCTGACCCAGCCTCGTGTGGATAAGCATCAAGGCACTAGCAAGCTCCTACCTGCTTCTTCACGTTCTCGATTTCAGCCCGCAGCCTCTGGATGTTCCTGGTGAGCTCTTGGATCTCCATCTTGGTGTTGCGCAGGCTGTCCCCATGCCTTCCAGCAGTGCTCTGCAGCTGTTCATACTGATGGTACCAAGACAAAGCACACCTTAATGGAACATTCCTAGACAAGATCTGTCAACAGTTTCACAGCTCACGTGTACTCCCAGCGCTTATGACACATGGTGTTGATGGCCAGCTCAATGTTAAAAATGGTTCTGAGACTCAATATTCCTTTCCTGTTATATTTCTGAACTTCGAGAAAGATCTTAATCATGCAAATGTGCTTTCTTTGGCTTCAGATGAGCTATTTTGTGCTACAATTTTCCAGTTAGGATCTTTGGCCGTATTTATTGAGGATTGTACCTTGCACAAAGCAAGAGTGTGGCCTCCTTAAAAAGTCAGCCAGGCCCCTCAAAAGCAACACACTTTCTTTTGAGATGTCCTTGTCTGTACCGCTCGCTCACTCCCTCAAGGGGATTCCCTCTAAGGCTCTTATTTTGTCTTAAATCATCTTAAACTCTGGCCATGGGCCAGGCTCCCTCAAGCGTTTTGGGGCTCACCTGGCTCTGGTACCAAGCCTCAGCCTCCGCCCTGCTGCTCTGAGCAATCTGTTCGTACTGGCGCCGGACCTCCTCAATGATGCTGTCCAGATCAAGATGACGGTTGTTGTCCATAGACACCACCACGGACAAGTCCCGGCTGATGGTCTGCATCTGAGACAGTTCCTGCAAAGCACCAAAGAAAGAGCAGACACAAATTAGCGACGACAAACTACTCCATTGCTCCCTGAGCAAAACCACCGTGGACCCAAATCACCCTCAAATGAAGAAAAATGCATCATTAGAATCTCAGCTACCTAAGGGGAAAGAAAAACTCCTTACCGCATCATAGATGCTCCTCAGGAAGTTCATTTCATCAGTCAGAGCTCCCACCCTTGTTTCCAACTCTACTTTAGTCATGTAGGCAGAGTCCACATCCTAAAGGAAAGATTAGAGAATAGTTTCATCTCTCTTGGGAAATCCCTCAGGACAACAGAAACTGTGGGTTTTGCCACTCAGTTAGATGAGGAAAAAGAACTCGAGTAGTTCTTGCCAGTCCTACAGTGTCCCTTGGACCTCCCTTCCAAAGGGAATGCCCTGGAAGCACACATAAAGCCCATATTCAAGTGCTAATTGTGTAGTGTACGTGACTCACCTTTTTGAGCACCACAAACTCGTTCTCAGCACTTGTGCGCCTGTTGATCTCCTCCTCATACCTATGGAGAATAAGAATAAAAGCTGAGTTGTCTGAGCTTTCCAACCTAGGGTCACTAAACCAAGACAAAGAGAAAATATTTGAAGTGAACGATGTCTAGAATTGCTATAAAAAGTATGTATGTGAAGAAAAATGACCTGGGAGGTTGAGGATGCTGCTTGAGTTGTTTTCTGTGTTACTCTGCACTTACTTGTTTTTGTAATCCTCCACGTACTGCTGCATGTTTTGCAGTTCTGATTCCAGCTGTCCCCTCTGCGCCAAGATCGAATCCAGCTGCCTCCTCAGGTTCTGGATGTAATTCTCAAAGATGACATCGAGGTTCTTCCTTGGCCCAGAAGGCCCTTGCTGCTGCAGGAGCTCCCACTTGGTGGAGAGGACCTTGTTCTGCTGCTCCAGGAAGCGAACCTGAAACCCAACACATTGCAGTGTTCACCATGACATGCAGAACAGCCAAGGCACCTGCTTCATCACGGTAGAAGAGTTCTGGCTCTCTTTTGCATGACGATGTGAGAGCAAGATAACGTTCCGATAAAGTTTTCTCCTCGTGGGTAAGTTGCAAGATCAGGAGAAGGAAGGTGGTTCTAGGACATATACAAGTCAAAGGACCTTTCAAATGCTGCACCAATTCCAAATACATTTCCAATGCAGGCATTATAAATATCTTAGATTTCTACTCGAAATAAATAAATAAACAAATAGAACAGAATTGCCTAACATAAAGGAGGAAGACTTTGGAGAAGGGAGCACTACAGAAGTACAAGTTTGCTCATGAAACGTGTAGGTACATGGAGGCGTTTAACCTGCTTGCAAGAATAATCTATCAGCTGAGTCTAGTTCAGCAGTCTAGAATAAAGCCCTGAAGATATAGCTTTGATCTACCAAGGAAGAGTGATTCCCATCTTTTCCCTGGCAGTTCCAAATAAAAAAAAATATTCTCAAGCTTCCCATCCTGCTGACATTTAGTTGGAAAGGTCAACATTTCTGAAGCACATGAAAGTTCCTCAAAGTTTTGACACTTAATTAGACACAATAATCCCATCTTCTCACCTTATCAATGAAAGAGGCAAACTGATTGTTAAGASTCTTGATCTGCTCCTTCTCCTGGTTTTTCACTTGCTGGATCTGGGGGTCAATCTCAACACGGACTGGCTGGAGGAGGCTGGAGTCGACCTGCACTGGCTGGATCCCAGGGCCACCTCTACCAGGGCCACCAAAGCCAGGGCCACCAAAGCCTGATCCGCCAAAGCCTCCCATTCCTCCACCACCCATTCCGGGTCCACCAAAGCCTCCCATTCCTCCACCAAAACCGCCCATTCCTCCTCCACCACCGCCCATTCCACCACCATAGCCACCCATTCCTCCACCAAAGCCACTCATTCCTCCAAAGCCACCACCGTAGCCAATTCTGCCTCCATAGCCTCCACCRCCATAGCATCCACCCATGGCAATCCTTCCGCTGCTGCCTATGTTGTGGAGGCTCCTGCTGCTAAACCCTCCACAACGTCCACCACCTCCAAATCCCCTGGACATGGAGTAGGAGCTGTAGCTGGTCCTGCTTCTGTTGCCACCTCCTCCAAAGCCACCACCAACAGCAGAGCAAGAGCTGTAGCCCCTTCTGCTCCCGCCTCCAAAGCTTCTACAGACAGATTGCCGAGACATGATTGTTTCTTCTAAGTAGAGCCAAAAAAAAAAGGACAAAAAGAGAAGATCAACGCAGTTGTGCTACAGCAGATGAGGACAGAGAGAAGGAAAGTGAGTCCCTCTGACTCGAGGGCAGCCAATGCTCCCTTTTATCTGTTTCTGGAGGTGGGCTGGGTGTGCATGGGCGTGAAGGAGGAGACAGTTATTGTCTTCATCAGCTTGGCGTGGTTTACAGATTTTCATCTTCAATTTGCCAAACATTGACCCTACCCAGAAACACACCCTGTAACGCAGGAGAGAATTTCTAGACGATCCAGCAGTGCCTACCAAACGGTAGTCTTACTCTTTTGCGGCATATTAGCAGCCTCTCTGTGATATGCTGGTCTTTTTTTTCGGTCTTTCATCCATTGTAGTTGGTTTCCCTGCCTACGTTTATCTTTATTTTCATCTTTCCGTCCACAGCCCCATGGCAGGCAAGCGCTGCCGCGCATGCCAAATTGTAGCGCGGCTTTCACAATTCCCAAAACACACCTATGTTACACCCTAAGTCGTCTTCTTTTTTACGTGGAAAATTGCCTTTGGCTTTGAGAAGTAGTTTCTCAATCTGGAGCCAGGGCTCAGCAAATTGCATTTTGATGAGGCGCTGCATCTGCTTGGTAAATAAAACTTCACCGGTGCGATGTTCCCGTGGCGAGGGTTGGCGGCTGGGGTTTCTCTTGTTGTCGAACCAAAATCCTTCTGAAAGCGAATCCTGGAGTCTGCCGAGGTGGTCTCTGCATCAGGAGGAAAATGTCACTGATATCACAGATTGCAAATTCCTTTAGGATTTTCTGGAGATTTCAAGAAATATCTGACCATTAGGAGAGCCAGAACACACGCTGGGTACCTGCTGCCTGGGGCAGACGGACAGCTCAGAGCAAAGGCAGAGAGGAAGAGGGAGGAAAAATCCGTCTGACCACATAGCAAATATTGCAGCTATTTGAATGCAATTAGTCAAGCGCAGGATGCTAGAGAGCAAAGCTTGTTTATAGAAGCGCTTTAAACAGAGCGTAGCGTGGACAGTAGCGTCCACTCAAAGGAAAGCACGTTTGGGGCTGTTGGCGTCGATATGCAGGTGTGTTATTGGCAGATACACTTGTAAGCTGTCTTGAGCCCCTTGGGAATAAAGACAGATAAACTGTCTAAGCTGATTAAAATAATCTAGTTCTGATGCCTAAATGATCAAATATTAGCTTATGAGATAGATTTGCAATGATAAAACTAGGAAACATCATGTATTTCCAATTTGTTTTGTAGAAGTCTGGTTAAAAAATAACACTGTCTTTTTCTTTTTTTTCTTTTTCTTGTTCTTGTTCTTTTTCCTTTTCTTTTTCCTTTTCCTTTTTCTCTTTCTCTTTCTCTTCTCTTTTTCTTTTTCTTTTTTTTATTGGCGATTATTTTGAAGTCCCTCAAAACTCTCTGGTAACTTAGGCATCTACCTGTGCTGCTGGCTGCCTAACAGGCTTTTCAAATGTTGTCCTAGGACAGTGGCAATTAAATGCAGCTTGAAAATCCACGCTAGCAACTCTTGGCATCTTCAGAGGTCTAGATGCCTCTAAAAATATTGCCCAGACACCCGTTTTCAAGGGTGCCTTGGGCCACCTTGGTGTCCCTCCACAGGCTGCTCATCCACCCATGTCTCACCACACTGCCACGGCCTTCATGACCATGCCAGGAAGCATCTCAGGAAATAAATCCAACTAAAAACATATATGCAATGATAACACAGTCCCTGTGAGACAAAAGAGGTGGGGAGAACTGGGGTTTTGGTAACTGCAATGCGTAATTTGAATGCACGTTAAACCCGTGCCCTGAGGAAGTCCCATATGCCTTGCTGGTCTTCACCAAGACGTTGTCTCGTACATGATTCCCTTGGGACAAACTCCGAACTTGCTCGGGTGGTTTTGAAATGTTACTTCAAGCAACACTGCAAACATTATCCCCCAAAAAATGGTGAGGATTTGAGCAGCTCTCTAGGCCAAAACACACCGGCCATCTCCACACCAGGGAAGGGGAGTCCTTCTCGTCTAGAAGGAGCGAGCCAGACCTGGCAACGCTGCGTTAATCACTCAAACGCATTCCATTGTTCCCTGCCATACCGCAAGGTTCAGGAGGGTTTGCAGCTATTAGGGGTGTAATTATATATATATATACGCGCATGCACGGACGCATACACACTTAACAAGTGACTTGTTTCTTCCCTCGCCTCCCTCGGGATTACCAAATACGTGGTTACGTTTTCTCGTCTGTAGGTTGTGCGACACGAGCCTAAAGTTTCACGTTCCCAGCCGCGCTTGACAGGCGGGGATTCGTTAAGTCAGCACCAAGCCCGGCTCCCAAGTGCTCGTGTTTAGATAAGGCGCCCGTTGAGTCACCGCCACCTCTCCAGCCAAGCTTAGGAAACCAAGCGGGGATTTGAATGTCAACATCACCATCCACCTCAAGTGCAATCGATGTCTTAGGCTCCAGCAAGCGCGACCAACATCGTTGCAGCCGAGATGAACGAAGGAAAACACCCGTGCAGGAATACGGGAAAAGCTACTCGGCCCTTCAGGAGCGAAACGGCTGTCGGATCGCATGCACGGAATTTAGGAATGTCTTCACATTTTCCAAGAATTCTCCCTAGGCAAGTCTGCTTTAGACTAGAGGCAGCTAAAATAGAAGGGAAGCAGGGAGAAGTTAAACCTGATTTATTTCAGGTCAAGTAAAAAGCGTGATTCCTCCAACAAGGGCTGAAATGTGCTATCTCAGCCCAGCCCAGAAGATTTTTCACCCAATGGCTGTAGCGATCATGCTAACAGCATAAAGGGCTTTTTGCTGCCTGTTTTTATTAAAGCGTTTGTAGGCATCAGGAAAGGCTTTTGTTTCTTCTTGGGGCTGCCCTTGCGCCAGTCGTTCGCTGGAGGCAAGTTTACACAGAGGTTTGGTTAACTCCGAGGGAAGTCATCGTCTGCTCATTCAGCACCATCCCAGGTCACTTTACAGCTTGCTGGAATATTTACCATTGCCCAGGCAATGTCCCCATCCAAGTAGTTACACGCCTTCGTTGGCAAAGTTAAGGCATTCCACAATCACTAGCAGATATATTGCTTGAACATTTAGGAATGGGCAACCAAGCATGGGGTAAAGGAGATGACTCATCCAGATCACGGAGCAAGCCTGCAGTTGACCAGGGATGACTGCGTTCTTCTGTGAAAGCAGTCAAACCACACTGGTGGTTTTCAGTATTTCAAATTTACGGGTCCACAGGGATATTCTGAACTTAAGTAGAAATATTCTAAGGTGATGACAGGGCCTTGCAGAGAGCTGGGAGATCCCTGGGGTGGGGTGAAACCAGGTGCAGCATGGTGTTTCCAGCCCACCAGAGCCAGATATCCCAGCACCAAAGACAGGAATACCAAAAGAGCAGACGTGTTGCCCTCTCTGCAGGGCCTGGGGACAAATTCCTTGTCCTGCCTGGACCCCAGCCTCTTTAAACAGCCCCTGCACAGAGATTGTTCTGATTCAGCTGGTGTTGGAGCACCACCCTTTCCTCTGGGCACTGTCTCCCATAGGATGCATCGAAAACGTTCTGTACCAGGGACTTTCTTCCTCGTGACAGCACCAGGTGCGGGCTGCCAACCTCACCCTGCCATTGGGACACCGGGTTGGGGACGGTCCTGTTGGGAGATGGGGAATCACATGTTGGGGCTGGGCACTGCTCCCAGCGCTGAGGAGCTTGTGAGTGGCCCAAGGGAGCAAACAGGAGCAAGGAAAGAGCTTCGGAGGAGAAAGAGGAAGGGAAGAAGAGTCTAAAAGCCCTAGAGGGCCCAAGGAAGAGGAAGAGGAAGGCAAGAACAACTAAGCTTTTAGGTTTGACCCAGAGCTGCATCGTCCTCTCCTGCCACCCCACCAGAAATGAAAGGGCTCTCATGGATGTGATTCAAGAAAACCCTGCATTTTGCAGGCTCACCCCAATCAAATTGCAAGATAGACTGAGCCTAACCCAGCAATTGTGTCCGCCCAGCCACTTCAGCTCTCCAGGATCTCCACTTTTTCTGCCAAAGCGCCAAACTCCACGGGGTGTTGGAGAGTCAGGGGGCGGGAGAGGGATGGGACTTGACAAACGCTGCAGGAAAACAGGCTACAAATTAGCTCTGGTTCCTCCAAATGCAAACTTCAAAGGGCATGGGAAAGTCAGGGAACACTTTCCGATCTCAGCAAGCACGGAGTCTTGTTGCAACATGAAACTCAGAAGCCAGAAAGAAACAACACACCAGCTCATTGCCTCGAGTGTTTAATAGGACATGCCTTCTGCCAAAGGAGAAAGGCTTAAGCAAACAAGCACAAGTGTTCCCATGCCCACAGTGAAGGAGTAAAACCGACGCAAAGTGAACATCTTGCAGTCGCTTCTAAAGGAAAGCAGAGAAACCACCAGCACTTTGTTCCGACGGAACGGCGGTGGGGTAAGGGGCGAGTCACCGTCGTGAGGAAATTCTGGTTTTGGAGTCAGGGCCTTGGCTGATGTGTAGCCAGTCCCAGTTGCCCCATATCTGGATCCAGCACAGAAGTTTAAAGTCGAGCCGCTGTGTGGGCTTTACAGAGCAAGAGTCCTTCTAAGTCTTCCTGGCAGCAGCGCATGGACAGGTCCTGTCTACCTGTCCCGGTTGGAATGTCCCTCATTTGGCCCACTGTGCTTAATACCAGTATTGCAGGAGTGACTGGGGCTCTTTGGTGCTCTGGTAGGTCCTGCTTTCTGCAGGGCCTCTGGGGGAGCAGGAGAGGTGGGAAGCAGCTGCAGAAGGGGGCAAATCAAGCCCCAGACATGGTGGAGAAGCTCAGGCACTAGCAAGTTGCCTCGTTTTGTTTTTCTGTGTAGTGGCTAAAAGGTGATGGAGTGGTGGCTTTCAGCCAAAGCAGACGGTGGTCACCTCAGCCATGGGTGGATAGCGATGGTCACCGTGCCGGCTGGCTCCTTTCTCCATTGGGAGCAGGGTGGGATGAGGTATGTCCCCGTCCTAGGCCCGCCGGCTCACGGAGCTCGTCGACACGGAGGTGGTGGTTTTCAGGATGGTGCCAGATCCCGCTCCAGATCCAGAGCCTCCCACCACGGAGGAGACTCCTGCGCCGGAGCCAAAGCCCGCTGCTCCTCCTAAGCCGTACCCGCCGCTGGAGCAGAAGCCACCGCTGCCTCTGCCGCTTCCGAAGCCGATTGCTCCTCCTCGGCAGAGCCCGCCGCTGCTGCTGCCACCCACCACCGCTGCGACAAGAGCAGAACAGGCGGGATCACGTCCAGGGCCCTCCTGGAATGCAACCCCCCCTGGCCCGTCCCGAGCGAGGGACACTACTTACAGATGCTCACAGCGCTCTGACACTCGCCAGACATCCTGCAAGGAAAACACAGGGCATCATCTACAACCAGAGCTTCCTGCACGGAGCCAGGCTTGCTCTAACAGGCCTTGGTGGTAAGCAGCAAGTGTAGGACCTCAGACCATGGGCTATGGTCCATTACTGTCTACACTGTTAATGTTATTTTAACAAAGGACTGCGTTGCTCCCTTCCCTTTGATCTAGCTGTATCTCACTGACCTGCACTCCTCTCCCTCCAGCAGCTTCCTGTAGGTCGCGATCTCGATGTCCAGGGCCAGCTTGACGTTCATGAGCTCCTGGTACTCGCGGAGCTGCCGGGCCAGGTCGGCCTTGGCCTTCTGCAGGGCTGTTTCCAGCTCGGCCAGTTTTGTCTTGGCGTCCTTGAGGGCCACCTCTCCACGTTCTTCTGCATCTGCAATAGATGCCTGCAGTGCTTCACACTGAAGGACAAGACACGGATGTTATGCATTGGTGAGGGATAGCCATGGGTGCTATCTATATAGCATCTATATAGCATCTAGCCATAGTCATAGATGTTTAGAAAATGCCCGAACACTCGACACCCTTCATATTTTTGTGTGTACATCACTCGGGGTCGGCTGCTCCCAGATGCAGGTAGTTCTTTCCTGTTTACACTGGCTGTTACTAGAACATTTGGTAGTAGGGAAGTCCCAAAGAGATGTACCCGTTCACACCCATTTCTAAGAAACTGCAGCCCCTACCTGCTTCTTGACATTCTCAATCTCAGCCCGTATCCTCTGGATCATGCGGTTGAGCTCAGCGATCTCAGTCTTTGTGTCCTTAAGGCTGTCTCCGTGTTTTCCTGCGGTAGCCTGCAGCTCTTCGTACTGATGGGCAGAAACAAGAGGAGCCCTTGGTGTCCAACATGAGCTGCCTCCCCACAGCAGGTCCCCATGCACCAACCAAGGTAAACATGCACTCGTCAGCTGCAGTCTAGCATCACTATTAGCAGCATTCCGGTTCCCAGGACAGGGTGCACAAACCCAGCTAAACCCCAGGCATAGCCTTGAGTTTAGAACCAGCTCCTCGAGACGCCCACCACAGCGTGGGATTTACTTAGCATGAAGATCTCCTCCATTCTCCCTCTTGGCAGCTTGTTCAAGGAACCTGAAAAAGCCTCATTTCTCCTCCAAGCTCCCCCAAGTGTTAAACGTTCCTGTCTTTGTTCTCCAAGTCTAGAACCTCAGCCCACCCATGAGCGACGTGTAGATCACTTACCTTGCACTGGTACCAGGACTCGGCCTCCAAGCGACTCCTGTTGGCAATCTCCTCATACTGTGCTTTGACCTCCGCAATGATGCTGTCAAGGTCCAGATTTCGATTGTTGTCCATGGACAGAACCACCGACGTGTCAGAGACTTGCTGCTGCATCTGGGAGAGCTCCTGCAGGTGACAGCGGCTTTAACGTCTTTCCTTGGAGTATTACACTTCATTCTTACCTATCCCTTTTCCATTCTAGGATCTGCTCCTGCCTCCAGACCTGTATGGTTCTCAAGTGACTAGCATTTGTGGTTGAATTCATGATTCACACACCTAGAAGAAGCCTTGTGCTCCTTGCCCAGCATGGGGACAGGCCAAATTTGACTGCTCTTTGGACAAAAATATATTGTCCAGGCATGCAAAAAAAGGCGAGAAATAGGAACATACGTGGTGCAAAGCATGGAGGTGAGTCCATTAGAGGGACACTCTGAGGTCCGGAGAAGAGCTGGACCACTCACCATTTCATAAAGACACTTCAAGAAGTTGATCTCATCCGCCAGACCGTCCAGATTTGCCTGCAGCTCCACTTTGTTCATGTAGACCCCGTCCACATCCTGCAGCAGAAACTGAAAGTGAGTCTTTGCACCCCAAAGGTCTCACATACATTGTACTCGATCCATATGGAATGGTGGGCCCATCTTTGCACGGAGCTTCCCTGCAGGGATCCAGGTTAATGCCGGGTGCTTGCAAGCAATTTCAACACGAATGCAAGCAATGAAGCAAGGCATTTCCCGAGCAGAGATGGGCCCGGAGGGGACGGTGGGGGGAACATCACTGTTTTGAGCGTGCAGATCTCATTTACACGCTTGGTTATTTCCTTCCCGGCAGCAGGAACACTAGGACCTAATATTTTGCTTGTCCTCTGCTCCATCAAGAGGTTATCCTGACATCAGCTCTGTCCTCATGCTCTTCTCGCTCTAATTAGGGACAAGTTTAATTAAAACCTGCCCACACAGCTCAAGAGCTTTGTGTTCCTCATTGGGTTCCTCATTGGTTCCTCATTGTGTTCCTCATTTTGGTTCCTCATTGGTTACTCAGCCGAGCACTTTACCTTTTTTAGGAGCACAAAGTCATTCTCGGCCGCGGTCCGTCTGTTTATTTCCTCTTCGTACCTGTTGATTACGAGGGAGATTGAACCCGTTTGCTTGCTTTGGCTCCTGCAGCCGCTGCTGGCAACCAGGCACCGTTGGCCTCAGACTAATGAGCGTGGCAAAAATAGACCTGCTGTGAGCAGGGTTTATGGACAAGCGTCAGCACTTTAGCTCTGCAGAGAAGTCACTAGCTCCTGCTGTCTCAAGTACCTTTTGGAAGACAGTTTGCAATCCTTGAGATCTTTGAACACAGTCTTGGCCACTCCAGCTGCTTCCACCAGCCCAAGGGACCCAAGGGACCCAGCACAGCCCAAATAGTTTGGATCCTGAATCCAAACTAGTCAAGTTTGGCATCGTTTTGCTGCCGAGTATGGAGCGGTGGAGATGATCTCCAAAGCAAAGTCAATTCTGCCTCTGCAGGCACCATAAAGCAAAGGACGTGGCTGGTCCTGAGGGTCCCCAGACCTGCTCTCCTGCAATTTCTATCAAATCAAATCAAATCTTTCGGTGGAAAGATTTCTCTAGGCTCCGTTCTTGCTTTTCTGGCTGAACACATTAGTCCAGTAGCATGAGGAAAAGCATCGCTTTCCTCTCATTCCTGCTTTCAAAAGAAAGCTCTAATCTTGAAATGATCCAGGAGGAAGTTATACGAGGATTTAACGACTGATCTGAGTTAATTGGCTCATTAAATCGTAACAGATTAAGCGGGTAAGGTGAGGAGTAGATAATCCTGCTTTAGGAACAAGCCTAACTCAGGCAACAAATAAAGAGACTCGGAAAAATCTTGAAAGAATCACTGTCAGTGGACAACTGAGGAAAACTTCGCCAAAACTTGTCTTTTACATTGTCTAATCCTCACTGCGAGAGAGACATTCAGAATTCTTTAGAGTTTTTGAATTCTGTGACTGCTCAAAGCAAGTTTAGTTTCTGTTTTTCACCCTTTTTCTATATGAGAAAGGAGGGCCACCCACAAAAGTTTAAAGTTTTGACCAGCTCCATGGGAAAACAGGATATAGAGGCATATACAGCCGGGGAAATACAATCAGACCTCCTAAGAAATGAGAAGATAGAGCTTAGGCGGAACTATGAATTAACACAAGGCAGAATTTGAGCCTAAACGGGGAGGGAATTCCCGCGGGGCGCTCAGCACATCCCACCACGCAGCAAAGCACGCACTTGTTCTTGAAGTCCTCCACCAGGTCCTGGAAGTTCTTCAGCTCGGCCTCCAGCTGGTGCTTCTCGCTGGAGAGGCCGTCCAGCTGCTTCCGCAGCCCGTTGATGTAGGCCTCGAAGAAGTGGTCGAGGCTCCTGCTCTGAGGGCCCGTGCCGTGGCCTTGCTCCTGCAGCAGCTTCCACTTGGTCTCCAGGACTTTGTTCTGCTGCTCTAGGAACCGCACCTGAAAGATGACCGGGAAAGAGTCAGACTTCTCCGAGGGCATCTTTCTCCGTGCTGCTCAGATGGGCACATCCCGGCAACAGGGTCTCCTCCAGAGACGTCCTGCATGTCAAAGCACAGTCCCATGGTTTAGCACGAGCATCATGGGCTTAAGAGCCGGGGATCCTGTTCCCAAATCTCTCCATAGCCTGGGGGAAGTCACTTCTCCGGCTACCAGCTGCCTCCTCGCTTGCTGCTGCCCGTGCAACACCAGACCTTGGTCTTGGAAGTCATCACAGCAATGGCAATTAAACACAGTGAGATCAGATTCTCCCCAAACTGCAGAAAAAGCCACCCGCTTTCTTACCTTGTCAATGAAGGAGGCAAACTTGTTGTTGAGGGTCTTTATCTCCTCCCGCTCCTGCGTTCGCACCTTCTGGATCTCGGGGTCGATCTCCAGGTTAAGGGGGGTCAGCAGGTTCTGGTTGATGGTCACTTCCTTGATGCCGCCGGGTGGGCACACCGGAAAGCCAGGACCTCCCCTGCCATCGAAGCCAACTCCGCAGCCAAAGCCACCACCGAGGCCTCCACCAAAGCCACCTCCTGCTCCAGCACAGCCACCACCAAACCTTGCCCCGGCACCATAAGTGAAGCCCAAGCCCCCTTGGCCACCAAAGCCTCTATAGACGCCACCAAATCCGCCCAGGGAGGTGCATTTGTTCCCTCCCAGGCTATAGAGGCTCCTGCTGCCGAAGCCGCCGGTGTTCCCAGGTGCCCTGCTTCCTCCGCGGGACACGGCGCTGAAGGTGACTTTGTTCCCCGCTCCGAAGCAAGCGGAGCTGGAGCTGAAGCCCTTGCCGAGCGCGCACGACTGGCGAGACATGATGGGTCTCCAACGGGGAAGCCACCGAGAGCTCGGCCGCGTCGAGTCCAGAGGCGCAAGAGGCCAAGTCCTGTAAGAGCAGTGCCCGAATTCTGCTTTTTATGTGCTCAGGAAAAGGGCTGGGTGACAGGGGAGTGGAGAAAAAATGTCATTTTTTATTCTATTCATTGTTTTAGGTGTGCTTGGCGCCATGCCCTCCCCTCTTCCCTCCGCCACCGCGATGACCTGCCTCCAAACACTCCCCGGAGAGCTAAATAAACAGCGTTATTGTTGGCATTGGAAACTCATCTCCGAATCAGGTTTCCCTTACTAGAAACTGTCAACTCATCACAAGCTTTTCATGGCTCTTCGGGCCGTGACAAAGCACTGCAACTCCCTGACACATTCCACCCCCGAGGAGGACCCTTCTTTGAGGCACATCACTCACCTGGGGCTTTGTGGCAGGGGCTCGTTTCACTGAATTCCAAAAAAAAAAAAGAAAAATAATAAAAAAAAGAAGGTGGCTTCCCAGTCACACCCTCGGATGCACCCAGGTTGAACCTTCTGCTCGGAGAACGTTGGGTTTGGTTTGGCCCAAGGTGTTGCACAACCAAGGGAGGGAGCCCAAAGAGCATCGGTCATGGGGCAAGCTATCGAATTATGTCGTCTTTACTCGGGGAAAACACTAAAATGGGGATATTGGGGAGGGCAAGGGAAGGCTCGGAAGGAGACGCTTGTGGAGATGGATTCCTCCTTCCTCGCAGTGCCTCAGCCCTTATCCATGAAGAAGGATCTGCTTCCATGAGGAGCTCCCTCCAATTTGTGGAGTGCTGTGGTCCCGGGAGCAGGAAGGGAGCTGATATCTACATGGGAAAGTCTCTCACGTAGGTTTCTGCACGAGACGCAGTTGAAATATCAGTGTCGAACGGTGAAGAAATGGAGAGTTTTCATCCCCAGCGCTGCGGTTTCAGGTTTCCCACATCTTTTTCCCCGTTTTCCTTCCTCCTGCCACCCTGGCTCCTGCACTTACCCCTTGGCAAACTCATTGCTTAAAAATAAATAAATAAATAAGTAAATAAATAAATAATGGCTTAATTGCTTAACCACTTTTAATTTATATTTTAATTAATAGAGGTGTCTGGAGGTGCCTCCAAAGCCAGGCTCGCCGTTTACCCTGCCATTAAAATCAGCAGCAGAAATGCGATGACTTCCCCCCGAACCACAAGCTGCAGCCGTGGCAATAAACAGGCCCGGCGCCGCGCTCCCTAATTATCCCGCTTTATTAGGGACTCTCTTATTGTCCCTGTTATTGGAGAGGCTGGAGGGAGAGGCTCCGAGTTAATCCGCTGCTGAGCGTTTTGCTCCCGCGCAGACGCGGGTCCCGCTTGCAGGGTTGGTCCCTCTTGCCGAGGAATCCCGGGAATCCGCAAGGGGAGGCCGGCTCCTCCTGCAGGTCCTTCCCAGGCACAGGGCACGGGAAGAGCCGGCTGGTCCCCATTGCTCCCCAGCAAAAAGCAGCCCCCTTTGGGAGCCTCAGCCAGGCCAGCTGCTGTTCCCACGGCGGAATGTCGTCCCATCCCGAGGAGAGCCCAGGCCGCCTCTTCCCGGCGTTGCGCGAGCAGCTCTGCTGAGGATCCCAAGGAACCTGTTTGAGGTTCCTCCAGTCGGGCAGCGCCAGCAGGGAGAGAGCCGGCGGCTGCCGGGGCTTCCCGGGGCGGCTCCGCTCCGCATCCCTCGCACACCGCGCCTGTTCCCCCTACGGGAGCCCGCACCAAGGGACCCGATCCTGGCGCTCGGCGGGGACCCGGTGCCCAGCCGTGCCCAGGGCTCATCCTGCCCCTTCCCGGGATGCCGGAGTGGGAGAGCATGGCCGGCACAAGCACAATGCGAGGTGGCCCTTTCCAAAGGCGGGAGCCACCGGAGGCTCCGAGAGCGGAGGCTCCGGATGGGCTCTCCTAGGTCTCTTCCCATGCAGCGATAGGAAGAACCCACTCGAAGGGACTTCTCTGCAGCCCCAACGTGGCTCGGGGGGAGCCGCTCTGCCCTCGTGCATAGCTGTTTCTCCAAGTCCTCCCCAGCCCCTCCGTAGGCATCTCCGTGAGGAGACGCAGAGCGCGATGGGCTCTGTTGTGGGACACGCCAGCACGGGGGTTTGCAGGCACTGGGACATGCCTGGAAGCACCGTAAACCTGGATAAACTAGGACCAAAGCTGGGCTGGGAAGCCTTCCAGGTGTGTTAACCCAGAGAAACGCACGGCCAAAGCAACACCAAAATCCCGCAAATGGAGATTTGCCGGCAGTGGCGGCAGCTCCTGGTAGGACCTTCCAGCCTGGGGGTGCTGGAAGCAGCAGGGTTCTCACTGGGCCAGCATGGCTAGCCGGGGGAGCCCGGATTTAACCCTTTTCCTCCCAAAAGGCGCAGCTGAAGCCCAAACCCGCGTGAACTCCACTGCAGGGCTGGGAGGCAAGCTGGGGAGCGGAGAACAGGTCCGACAAGGTGGATCCCGAGGGAGATGAAAGGCAGCGGGCGCAGGAGGCGGCCGGCACGCCTCGTCCCGGCAGGGCTGCAATCCCAGCGCGGAGCCAAGAGCCCCGGGCTGCTCTCGATGCAATAAACGCTTCTGCTAGCCCGTGGCTTACGGGCAACACCTTCCCCTGGGAATCGGTGGCCCTCCGTGAGCAACAAGGGCGACGGCGATGCCGCTGGTGGCGGCGCCCTGAACGCGTCCGTGGCCCCCGGCTCCTGCCCGTTCCTGGGAATGAGGCTCTGGCCGTGGGGCGCCCGAGGCCAAGCCGTTTCCATGGGATGTGTGAGGAGGGCGCTGGGAGATGGGCCGGATTCCCCAGCCCGGGAAAACACCACTTCCCGGGAAGCGCCGCCTCTCCGGGTCCCACTTGCAGGAGGAGAGATGGGAACGAGGCCCAGTTCCCCCAAATTAATGATTATATATTTAAATGCTGTGATATATAAGTGTGTGTGTATATATATATGTTTTTGATGAGTCCCTGGGCATCACATTAGGTGAGCCGGGACGAATCACTGCTTCTGCACGAGGAAAGGGAGTATCCAGAGCAGGATTCCTTGCGGGAATGTGGGGTAACCCACAGCCCCGTTCAGGGCTGGGTCCACCCTGTGTGAATGGGACCCGTCCGAAACTGCACCCCTGGGGGAAAACCAAGTGTCCAGGAGCAGAAAATAAAGAGGGGATCATTGCAAAGCCAAAGGGGATTTTTTAAAAAAAAAACAGTTCTTGGCTCAGGAGCTGAAGAGGATGACGTTTGGGGGGTTCTTGGCTGCAGGAGCAGGCTTTCCGTGTCCTCCTTGCCTCGCCTGAGCCCCCGTTGCTGGGGCACAAGGGTCAGAACTTCCCAGTGACAGCTTTTGCATGAAGCAAAATCCAGAGGTGGCAAAATGGGGAAAAACAGCACGAAGCGGAAAGCGTGTCCCCCGCTTTAGCGAAACCCGGCCCTGCACCGGCCACGGCTCCCTGCGGATGATGCAGGGGCACAAAATGCAGCTCCCTGTCCCCAAGGGGCTGCGGGCCCGGCGAGGGGTGTGCGTGCGAAAGCAGGGAGCGAGCGGCGTGGGGCGGCTCCCGCCGCGCCGCTAATTGCAGGCGAAAGCGCCGGCGAGCCCAGGCTTGCGCGGAGCGCCCGGCACGGCGGCGGGAGGGTGCGGAGCCCGCGGGCCCCAGGCCTCGCTGCAGGGCCCCCAGCACCCGTGGGCGCAAGGGGCTCGGGCACCCATGTGTGCAGGGTCTGGGGCACCCAAGTGTGCAAGGTGTGGGGTATCCACGTGTGCAAGGTCTGGAGCACCCACATGTACAAGGTGTGGGGTACCCACATGTGCAAGGTGCTCAGGCACCCATGTGTGCAGGGTCTGGGGCACCCCTGTGTGCAGGGCCTGGGGTACCCACATGTGCAAGGTGCTGGGGTACCCACGTGTGCAAAATCCTCAGGCACCCACATGTGCAATATCTGGGGCCTCTGCATGTGCAAGGTGCTCGGGCACCCATGTGTGCAGGGTCTAGGGTACCCGAGTGTGCAAGGTCCTCAGGCACCCACATGTGCAAGTTCTGGGATACCCACACGTGCAAGGTGTGGGGTACCCACGTGTGCAAGGTCCTCAGGCACCCACGTGTGCAAGGTCTGGGGCACCTGCATGTGCAGGATCCTCAGGCACCCACACGTGCAAGATCAGGGCACCCACACCTGCAAGGTCTGGGGCACCCACACGTGCAGGTTCCTCGGGCACCTGCATGTGCAAGATCAGGACACCCGCATGCACAAAGCCTGGGCATTCGTGCACGCAGGTCCGGGGGACAGGGCTCCCACCCCCTGCCTCTTGCCGACTGCCCGTCCCGGCCGAGCTGCTGTGTTGGGCGGCTGCAAAGGGAGTCTCCAAACATCCAGGAGCTTCCCCCGCCGCTGGACGAGGGGCCCAGGCGTCCCGGCTCCAGCTGCAACCCCCCCCAAACCTGCTTTGGGAACGGGGGAGCAGGACGCCCGGCCCCATCCCGCAGCCTGCCGCGGCCCTCCCGACAGGCGTCGCGGACCCGCGGTGCCCGTGGGCCGCGCGCGGGGCCCCGGCACGTCGGCGCCGTGACTCACGGCCTCCTCCCCGCCCGCCCTGCCACGAGCTGAGTCAGGCGTCAGCCTGCCCGGCCGGGGCGCAGCCCCCCCGGCACAAGGGGCCGCTGGCTGCAGGCTGCAGCGCCCCGGAGCCGGCGGCCGGGCTGGAGCTGCCGGCGGTGCTGGCACCGAAGCCCTCATCCCGCCGGGACGCTCCGTTTGCAGTGACCCCCCAAGAGGCGTCTCCAAAACGGGGCGCTTTGCTCTGTCCGGGAACCGAGGCAGGAAGGGTTTAGCACAGCTGGGCAGGACGGGGGCTCCCACCAGCACCTGGGGGGTTATTTGCCACCAGCCTGATGGAAAAGGAAAAGGTGGGAGCAAACGGCTGGTCCCAAAGCGGGGTGGCACCAAAAGGGGGGTTGTGGAACAAAGTGCCGATGGGCCAGATCCCATCGCGTCCCATCCCACCGCGGGGACACTGAAACCTCTTATCTGGGGAGGCGCCGCACCCTGCCCAAAGCGCTGCCTCCTTCCCAGCGCGGCCCGTGCCCGGCCCGCGGGCGCCCGCGCTGCCGGGGCCTGTCCCGGTGCCACCCGCGCCAGCACCCGCGGGACGCAGGGGCGGCTTCCCGGGCGTCCCCCCGGGAAGGAATACCTAAAGGGGGGCCTCTGTGGTTGGCACTAGGGGAGGACGCAGCGGTTGCGCAGCCCCCTCCCCGCCTGCACCCGGAGCCGCTCCGAGTGGGCGCAGCCGCCGGTTCCTGTCCCTGTTTCCCCAGTTGTGCCCATTGCAGCCACTGGTTCCTGTCCCCATTTCCCCAGTTGTGCCCATTGCTGTGGTTTCCAGCTCAAAACCTGGAGCGGGGGGGGCCAGGAGCCCGCCCCCCCATCCACATGCATCTCCGGGGGCAAATCCCACCCTCGTGCCCCCGCAGCGCTTCCCCCCCCACACCAGCGGCCTCAGTTTCCCCTGCGGGGTCGGCTCACCCCATGCGACCCCCTCTGCACCCAGGAGCCCGGGATCCTTCCCTCCCTTCCCAGTCTTGGCTGCATCCCCGTCCCCCCGCCCACGTCGCCCCCAAGGGGGACCCGGGAGTCCGGCGCCCCGGGGTGTCTCCGGCAGCGGGATCGCCGGCCCGGGAGCCTCCTGCAGCCGCGAGCGGGAGGATGAGGACAGCGCGGCCCGAGGAAGGCGGGGGCCGGGGGGCCGGGGGGGCAGGCCCGGCCGGGGCAGGCGCCGTTCCCGCTCCTCTGCCGCCCTCCAGCGTCGCCGCGGTCCCGCTGCCGCCGGGAGAGCCGGAGCGGTTCGGGAGGCGGCGCCCGGCACCCCCCCACATCGGGGGCACCCGCGGGGAAGGGGGGTCTGTGCACCCAGAATCCCACCCAGATTGGGGGCCCAAGGCCGGGCCGGGGGCTCGTCCAGGCCCGCGGGGCCGGGGGGGCTCAGGGGTCCTGCCCAGGACCCCGCGCCTCGCGGGGAGCCCCTGGTGGCCACGCGAGGCCCCCACGTCCTTCTGTCACTTCCCACGGAGCCCCCCGGGCACCAGGGGCACCCGCGGGGGGGGGGGGGTCCCATCCCGGCAGTGGCCGGTGCGGGGGTCGCTGCTGCAGGGGGGACCCGTCCTCAGGGCGCCCCCAGCGCGGTAATTAGCAGGAGCCGCTAATTGCGGCGGCACTTTACGGTGCAGACGGCAGGTGTCAGCCCGGTCCCGGCAATGCCGGGCGGGCTGCGCCTCGGTCCCGGCCGCGCTCCCTGCGTGCCCCCCGAACCGGCGCGTTCGCAGCCCCTGCCCTGAGCCCAGCGCCGCGGGGCCCTGGCAGAGCCGCAGCCGCCCGGGCTGGCTAATCATCAACCCGAGGGCAAAGTCCTTGGGCGGCTGCGGAGCCGGGGGGATCCTGGCTCCAGCCAGGGAGATGGGGGCCTCACCGCGGCATCGCACCCCGAACGCCCCCCAACAGCCCCCCAAATGCTGCGGGTCCGGGAGGAAAAGGACAAGGGGGGGGTCCCTTCCGCGGGGTGCAGCATCCCCATGGAATGCGAGATTGTTTTTAATGGGGAGGAGATGGGGCCGGGAAGGGCCTCTGGCGCGGGGAGGAAAAGGTCGTGCAGGAAGAACCGAGGCGGACAAAAGCCCTTGGCCAGCAGGGAGAAGCAGGGCCAGCCATGGAAGGGGGGGACACTGGGGCCTGCTGGGGCCGCGGGGCTCCCTCCCGAGCCCCAGGAAGGGGCTGGGCAGCGGCGCCGCCTCCCAGGCCAGACGTTTCCTCCATCCACAACCCGCCCAACCGGCTGAGCCGCCCGAGCAGCAGCGCAGACGCTGCAGACGCCGCAGGTGCGGCGCTCCCATCGCCCTGCAGCCACTGCGCCAGGAGGGACCCAGGGTTTTCCTCCTCCAAAAGCCCAAGTGGCTCCTCAGCCCCATGCTCAACCCTCCAAGTAGACACTAGAGAATCCCTGGGGTGAGCCAGAGGTGTGAGGAGGCCCTGTCCCTCTGGCTCCCGATGCAGCTGAGCCCATGCCCAAGCTGGGAGTCACGGGGCTGCATTGCAGAGAGGGTCAGAGCCACCGATTTGGGGCAAAAACCAGCGCTTGTGGCTACTAGGAGCCTCTCTTCCATGCCAGCGCCAGCAAACAAACAGCGGGAAGCAAATCCCCTTCCCGAGGGGACACAGGAGCAACCGACACCTCCAAACCCCTCCCGGCCGACCCGTCCAGGCATCTCATGGGCCTTCTGCTCCTCAAGTCCCGCTCCTGCTGGGCTCCCTCATCCAGGTTTCCTCTGGGGAGCTTTTCCCAGCCACTCATGGTCTCCATCCAGGCCAGCTCCTTCACCCCGCCAGGGTGTTTCTGCACCAGCCCTTTGCCCACAAGAAGGAAAAATGCCCATTTTATAGGCAGATTTGGGCAGAAAAAGCCTATTTTGGCAGGATTCACCCACAGCCTGCCCGCAACAGGCACCTCCGGAGGCAGCGTGAGGCTCCCGGCTTTGCATCCCGGCTTGGCATCCCAGCTTTGCATCCCAGCTTTGCATCCTGGCTTTGCATCCCGGGTTTGCATCCCGGCTTTGCACCAGCACATGGTCAGCTCAAGGATTGTGGGATGGAGGTGGCACTTTTGTGGGGAAGAGGAGAGGAGAAAGGAAAAGAGAGAGGAGAGGAGAAGGGAGAGGAGAGGAGAGGAGAGGAGAGGAGAGGAGAGGAGAGGAGAGGAGAGGAGAGGAGAGGAGGAACGACGCGGAGCACGGTGCGCAGAGCGGTTTATTGCGGCGCTCAGTTGGCCAGCACGTCGGCGCACTCGGACACGAGCTTGCCGTCCCGCGTCTCGATCTTCTTGATGACGATGGCCCTCGCCTTGGGCGCGCTCCCGGGCGCCGCGGCGGGCGCCGCGCAGCTGCTGCTGGACCAGGAGCCGCCGGAGCCGCTGCCGTAGCCGCCTGCGGGGGGTCAGCTCTGAGCATCCCGCCTCGCGCCCCCCGCCGAGCCCGGGACCCCCGGCAGCCTTTACCCGAGTAGCTCCTGGTCTGGATGCTGAGGGTCTGCATGCCAGTCTCCAACCTGGGGAGACCATGGGGACATTTGGTGACATTTGGGACATCCCCCTCGCGTCTCCCACACTCAGTTCCCAGCAATCCTCCCCGTTTTCACGGGGCACCCCGTGCAGGAAAGCAGTGCGCTCCCTGCGTCCCGCAGCACCCGTGGGTCCCACCTGCTCTCCTCCCCCTCCAGCAGCTTCCTGTAGGTCGCGATCTCAATGTCCAGGGCCAGCTTGACGTTCATGAGCTCCTGGTACTCGCGGAGCTGCCGGGCCAGGTCGGCCTTGGCCTTCTGCAGCGCTGATTCCAGCTCGCCCAGCTTGGCCCTGGCGTCCTTGAGCGCCAGCTCGCCGCGCTCCTCCGCCTCGGCCACGGCCGCCTCCAGGCCGGCCCTCTGCAAAGCCAGGCCCGGCGGCGTGGGGCTGGGGGGTCCTCGAGCCCTGTGTGGGGCTGGGGGTCCTCGAGCCCTGTGTGGGGCTGGGGGGTCCTCGAGCCCTGTGTGGGGCTGGGGGGTCCTCGCGGCCCCATGGGGTGCCAAGTCCTCCCGCGTGCTCCCAAGGTGCAGGGCTTCCCCCCCAGCACCAGAGACCTCCCCCCAGCACCAAGGATCCCCCCAACATTACAAACCACCCACTCCAGCATCAAGGACCCCCCTCCAGCACCAGAGACCCCCCCCTCCAGGACCAGGGACCCCCCCAGCACTAGGGAGCAACCCCCAGCACCAAGGACCCCCCTGCAGCACCAAGGACCCCCCGAGCACCAGGGGCTCCCCCAGCACCCTGCAGAACTGGAGCTTGTGCATGGATAGCGGGGTGCGTGTCCGCAGAAGAGCTGGGACCCCCCCATAGAGGAGGGGGGGGGGGGGGCATGCCCGGCAGAGCCCAGGGATGCTCCCGGGCAGCCGGCGGACCTGGTTCTTCAGCGCCTCGATCTCGGTGTGGATGCGCTGGATGAGCCTGTTGAGCTCGTTGATCTCGGAGCGGGTGCTGCGCAGGTCGTCGCCCTGCTTGCCCGCCGTCGTCTTCAGCTCCTCGTACTGCCGGCAGCGAGGGAGGCGTGGGGCCCGCGGCGCCCGGCCCTGCCCGCGCCCCCGGCGCCGCCCTGGGACGGGCTGCAGCGGAGCCGGGATGTGCCGGCCGGGATGCACCGGCCTGGGAGCCATGGAGCCGCCCCGGGCACGGAGTGGCTCGAGGGTGCTGGTGCAGGCAGTGCATCCCACCGTGAGGAGACGGGTGGCCCCATGGGAATGAGATAGGAGCTGCCCTGGGATTGGCTGCCCTGGGATCAGGTTCACTGGGATCTGCTGCTTCCCTGGGATCTGCTTCACTGGGATCTGCTTCCCTAGGATCTGCTGCTCCGGGACCTGCTGCCCCGCGACCTGCTGCTTCCCCAGGATCTGTTCCCTGGGATCTGCTGCCCTGGGATCTGCTGCCCGGGATCTGCTTCCCGGGATGTGCTCCTCGGGATCTGCTTCCCGGGATGTGCTCCTCGGGATCTGCTCCCCGGGATCTGCCCCCGGGATGTGCCCCGCTCTCACCTTCACCTGGTACATGCTCTCGGCCTCGGCGCGGCTCCGCCGGGCGATGTCCTCGTACTGCGCCTTCACCTCGGCGATGATGCCGTCCAGGTCCAGGCTGCGGCTGTTGTCCATGGAGAGCACCACGGAGGTGTCGGAGATCCTGGCCTGCAGCTCGCGCAGCTCCTGCGGCGGCGGCAGCTGAGCACGGCGCCGCTCGCCGCACCCGTGGCCCCCTAATCCCGCCCGGCACCTCCTGGTAAAGCTGCCGCAGGAAGTTGATCTCGTCCGTGAGACTCTCCAGGCGGGACTCCAGCTCCACCTTGCTCATGTAGGCTTCGTCCACGTCCTGGGGGGGTGCACGGCGCCCGTGAGCCCCCCGCAGCCCCCCAGCCCTCGCCGGCGCCCGCCGCCCATCGCGCCCACCTTCTTGAGCAGCACGAACTCGTTCTCCTTCTCGGTGCGCTGGTTGATCTCCTCCTCGTACCTGCGGCGAGAGGCGGCGCTGGGGACGCCGCGGGACACCGCGGGGCACCGGGGTCCCCACACACAGCGGGTGCTGGGGAGGGGGGTGCTGGGGACACCTGGGGACACCGGGGTCCCCAGCAGGGTCCCCATGCGCAGCGAGTGCCGGGGAAGGGGGATCTGGGGACGCTGGGGGATGCCTGGGGATGGCAGGGGACACCGGGGTCCCCGTGCGCAGCGGGTGCCGGGGAAGGGGGATCTGGGGACGCTGGGGGATGCCTGGGGATGGCAGGGGACACCGGGGTCCCCGTGCGCAGCGGGTGCCGGGGAAGGGGGTGCTGGAGAGGGCAGGGGACACCTGGGGATGTCGGGGTCCCCAGCGGGGTCCCTGTGCACAGCGGGTGCTGGGGAAGGGGGCGCTGGGGATGCCGGGGGACACCCGGGGACCCCGAGGTCCCCACAAAGGGTCCCTGGGCGCAAAAGGTGCCGGAGAGGGGGGCACCTGGGGACACCTGGGGACACTTGGGGACATCGGGGTCCCCACACAGGGTCCCCACATGCAGCGGGTGCTGGGGAGGGGGGTGCTGGGGATGCCTGGGGATGCTGGGGTCCCCACACAGGGTCCCCGCAGACAGCGGGTGCTGGGGAAGGGGGATCTGGGGATGCTGGGGGACACCTGGGGATGGCGGGGGACACTGGGGTCCCCGTGCGCAGCCGGTGCCGGGGAGGGGGCGCTGGGGATGGTGGGGGACGCTGGGGTCCCCAGCAGGGTCCCCGCGCACAGGGTGCCGGGGAGGGGGCGCTGGGGATGGTGGGGGACGCTGGGGTCCCCAGCAGGGTCCCTGCACACAGGGTGCCGGGGAGGGGGCACTGGGGATGCTGGGGGACACCTTGGGACACCGGGGTCCCCAGCAGGGTCCCCGCGCACAGGGTGCCGGGGAGGGGGCGCCGGGGGCGCCGGGGTGCCGCTCACTTGCTCCTGAACTCCTCCACCAGCCCCTGCATGCTGCCCAGCTCGGCGTCCAGGCGCAGCTTGTCCTGCGCCAGCGCGTCGAGCTGCCGCCGCAGCGCCGCGGCGAAGGCGTCGAGGAGCGCGGCCGCGCCGCCCCGCGCCGCCGCCGCCGGCGCCTGCTGCTGCTGCAGCAGCTGCCACTTGGTCTCCAGCATCTTGTTCTGCTGCTCCAGGAAGCGCACCTGGCGGCGAGAGGCGGCTCGCGACCCCCCCGCGCCCCCCTCCCGTCCATCCCTCCGATGCTTTTCCAGGAGTGGCACCGGGAACGCGGCGGGGACCCGCGTTGCAGCAGGGTGCAGGGATGCGGGATCAGCATTTTCCAGGGTTGGCACCGGGGGGGACTGTCCCCAAGGCCACCGGGATGTCACCAAGGCGGGGGCAGGACACCCCCACGCGAAAGTGCCCCGAGGGGCCAGGGTGGTCCCCAGGCAGGGCCCGATGTCCCCGAGCGGGGCGAGATGTTCCGTATGGACCAGGATGTGTCCGAGGGCTCAGCAGGGACCCTAGCGCACTAGGATGTCTTGGATGGGGGGGACATGCCCACAGGGACCATGACGTCCCCAAGGGGGTCGGGGGGACCCATGGGGGTCCCAAGGGTTTCCGGATGCCTCTGACGGGGCCAGGAGGTCCCCAGGGGAGTCAGGAGGTCCCCGAGGAGGTCGGGATACCCCAAACGGGGCCAAGGGCTCCCTGGTGGGTCCAAGACCTCTGCAAAGGGGCCAGGGTGTCCGGGACGGGGGCTGTCCCCAAGGGGCAGGAGGTCCCCGAGGAGGGACCAGGGTGTCCCCAAGCGCCTGCCCACCCGCAGGTGCCTCCCATGGCAGAACGGGCCAGGAAAAGGGCCCCGGTGGGCAGGAGCCCCCAAGCCCCCCGCGAGGAGCGGGGTGTCCCCGGCGCCGGGCACCCGGGGCGCGTGGGGCCGCCCGCACCTTGTCGATGAAGGAGGCGAACTTGTTGTTGAGGCTCTTGATCTGCTCCTTCTCCTCCTTGCGCACGCGCTGGATGTCGGGGTCGATCTCCAGGTTGAGGGGCGCCAGGAGGCTCCGGTTGACGCTCACGGCCGCGATGGAGCCCCCCGCTCCCGCGGCCCGCGGCAGAGCCGCTCCGTAGCGGCCTCCGTAGGCGCCGAAGGCCGCGGCCGCGCTCATCCTCGCGCCGGGGCCGGCCGTGTAGGAGTGGGAGCTGAAGGAGCGCCCCGGCCCCGCCGAGCTGCTCCGCAGGGTCTTCCTGGTGACTGTGATGGACATGGGATCGGAGCCTTGGAGGGCTTGGAAATCAGACCAGAGCCTTGGAGGGCTTGGAGGACGGACGGGAGTCTTGGAGGGCTTGGAGGACGGCTGGCCGGGAGGGTTGCAGGGAGCCGTCGGACAGGACGGACAGACGGACGGACCGGCCTGGCCGGAAGAGCAGGCAGGAGCTGGAGCTCCCTATTTATATCCCGGTGGATCCGGGGGAGGAGAGCGGAGGGAGGGCCCGGCCGGGCAGGAACCGGCACCTGCTTTAACCCCTTGGGAGCGGCGGCTCCCGCGCGGGCCCCGGGATCCCCGGGATCCCCAGGGATCTGGGGCTTTGGGGCTGAATCGGGAGCCGGGTTGTCCATGGGGAGCAGAGGGGTGGGGGGCTCCGGGCACCCGGGAATTGGGAGCCGGCGGCTCCCTCCTCTCATCCCGGCAAAACCCCCCGCACGGAGGGAACAGTCGGGTTGTTCCCTGAGCAGCCGGGCTGAAAAGCCGGAATCGCTGCCCCCGATTTTCTCCCTCTGGGCAATGGGGATTCTCCTGTGTCTCATAAGGGCTGTGCTCCTGCCCTCCACGCAGCCGTGGCTCCCTGCAGACCGGCACCAAAACCCCGGGAATCGATGCCCTAGAAATTGATGGGGAGCGGGCTCGTCCCGCGCTGGGAATGCCGGGCACAGGCCGAGGCAGCTCCTCGGCTCCGCGCCTCACGCACGGAATTTGCTGCCTTCCCCGCGGCTTGCTTGGTTTCCTTGTTTTTCCTCAATTTCCTTGAAGCAGCGACGGGGCTGGCTCCGGGTCCCCGACGGGGCTGGGACTGGGATAGGGAATCCAGGCAGGTCTCTGGGTGATGCTGGATGAAACTCGTCCGTCCAGCTGCTCCTTTGCATCTGCACTTCCCTACTTATGGGATCCCTTGGATCTATTTGCCCATCCATCCCTCCATGCATTCCATCCATCCATCCATCTATCCATCCATCCATCCATCCATCCACCCATCCATCCCTCCACTCATCCCTCCCTCCCTCCCTCCACGGATCTCTCCTCCCCTCTCCCCATCCCGACACTCATTCCTGCACTCACCCTTCCGGGCGGCTCCATCCCTCCCTCCTGCACAGCTCCGTCCACGCGCCCACCCCTTTGTCCCGGCACATCCCTCCTTCATCCCTCCGTCCACCCCTCCTCCGCCTGCTCAGCTCCCTGCTGGTCCCTGCCTGCCTTCCCGGGACAAGGAAGACAGGAAAGGGCCAATCCTGCCCCTAGGGAAGTAAGGCCGGGATGTTCCCGTCTCTCCAGGCTCCTTTTCCCAGCCCATTCCTCACCCACACGGGAGCAATGCAGGTGGGAAGGGGGAGGAAGACGCCTGTTTTGCCGCCCCTTCCTCTTCCTCAGCCTGAAGGCTGCCTGCCCCTTCCAGGAGCTCTTCCCCCGCCCCGCCGAGGAATCTTATCTCCAAGGAATGTGCAACCCCGACAAATCCTGCACTCCCCACCGCGCCGCAGGCAGGGAGCAGGCAGGGCCAGGGCAGGCGCCAAGGGGGTGCGGGCAGCGGAGACGCGGGGGACCCCCCTGGAACGCCCCCGGACGCCGGGGCCCCGCGGTGGCCCCGAGCCAGGAGCCGCCCGGCCCGTTGCCCGAGCGACAGCCAAATTCCCCTGACACCTGAACCGAGCGCTCCCGGCGCGCAGGAACCGGGAACGGTCCTGCACCCCGGAGCGCAGGAACCGGGAACCGTCCTGCACCCCGGCGCGCAGGAACCGGGAACCGTCCTGCACCCCGGCG